GTTGGTTGAGACAATTTTTTGTCCTTTTCAATTGACTGCTATGTTGTTCATTCATCACCTAGTAGTGGTCTTTTGATCTAGGTTATGCCAATATAGGATTTGATTGGACCCATAATCAATCCAAAGGTTATAGTGAATTAAGTTAGTAAATTAAGTCCCAATAATAGTGCTCTTTTAAAAAAAAACCTAATTTTCAAATATAGCATTAATAGCTATTTAACGAACTGAGCTATTCAAGATTGGTGTTGATTTATTCAAACTCGTTTATATTTAAAAAAATTAAGAAAATATTAAGAAATTCTTAAGCATGTTTAATTTTGAGGTTGAGCTAGAAATGTGTCACATGACTCAAGCTCATCAAATAAAATTGAACCAAGTTAAGCTATGCCGAGCTTAAATAAGATTTTGGATGTCGGATTCGGCCCTAGACCTTGGACCCTAACCCGACTCCAAGCTCCAAACCCGAACCCAATCCCAGACCGTAGAACTAATTTTGACTTGGACTTGGACCCAATCCCAAACTCCGAAAATGGTCACTACCCTAGATCCGGACTCCACCTCAGATCCTGGGTGGACGTGGGGTGGTGGTGATGGGGGTTTGCTAGTGATAGTGACAATGAGTGATGATAGTTGGGAATGCAAAATAACACTAAATATTAAAGATGACAAATCCTATACCGTTGGGATTACGCATTTTATAGTAATGAGAATGAATTTTCAGTACTACATTATTAAACATTGGGATGAGTATTAGTTACGAAGTTATAGTCATTCTATTTTCATTCATCATTATCAGTTATCAAGTACTGAGTATAGTATTATTCCAATTATCATGCCATATTTTTCTTGTAATGATTTTAGACCATCTAAAATGATTTTACATCAAGTAGGTGATTTAGAAAGAAAGAAAGAAAAATGGATCAAAAGAGATCTCAATCCTTCCTGATGCTAGCTTTGCTCCTACTGCTATATCACCAGAAATGGGAAAGACTACAGTTCTAATTCGGTATTTACCGAAATTTATAATTTTTTAAAATCAAGTTACGAACGATCTTAAAATATTAGGATCGACAATAAAAGTAATAATTTTTAAAAATAAAATTACAGTTTTTAATGGTCAAATTAAAATTTTAAAAGTAAAATTATAACCAATCAAGAGTGTTCATGATTGTTCGCAATATCTAAAGATCGACCATTAATTACCTTAAACAAGTGTAACTTTTACTACACGGCTGGAATTTTTTTTTTTTCTGGGTACCGTAGGATTTTCGCCTACCGTTATAGCATCATTTAATACTCCTATATTGATCAAATGAAACTAATTAATGTTAGGCATCAACTTGTAGCATGTTTGTATGGTCATTAGGATTTTACGTGTACATTCTCCCTGTTTAACAAGTGTTGTGATGCAGCTAACCTCTCGTTGTTGGGCAAGTGTCTCGAGCACAACCTCAGGTACCCGTGATCAAACAAACATTTATAGAAGTCTGGCAGTGTCCTTACAAAAAGGAAGTCACAACCTATTGAAACAAGAAGAAGTCTAATACAAGTGAAGGAATTCTAGGGAAAGTATTTACTATTTTACAAAAGTGATTTATTTATGCATCACAACATATAAATAATACGCTTTTATATACATTATACTTAATATTGATATGTGCAATCATGTTTGGAGAAAAGAAATAAATTTGGATAAGAAAAAAAGTAAAACAAAAGCGAGTTCTGTTAAAATTACACTAGTGTTACTTCCAATACATTCCTTAACGTAAGTCATTGCTAGAATTATAATGCCTAGCTTGCCAAAAAATTCAATCCTATGTTAGTTCTGTTGGAGATTATATATATCTCATGAAGTTGATGTCTTGGTCTAATAATAGAAATAAGACCATTAAGGCGTAGACGCTAGTGTTTGAATCTCGTGATTCTCACTTATAGTATATTACAAAAATAAATTCGGGGACCTACATTACATGCTTTTTTATCGTTCAATAATTTTGACACACATGATCAGTACTAACAGTACAAAAAGAAATTCGGGGACCTACATTATATGCCTTTTCATTGTTCAATATTTTCGGCATGCATGATCAGTATGAGAGGAGGTGTAGGGTGGGCTTGGGGTGGCCTGAAGAGGTGGGTGCAGGGGTGCCGCCCTCATTACGTTATGTTGCATACTTACTTTGAATCTGAAGAATTGAATGCCATCTTTTGTGGGATCAATCATTCAAAACTTATGCAGGCAAAAATTCCAAAATACCAATCGTAGCATAGGTTGCACGATATAACTTGAAAAACTTAGTATCTTTGGAGCTTGGGGTTTAGATTGGAGAAAACTTTGAAGAATATCTATCAGAATATGGATATTCAAATGACTAATCTCTTGTATACGAACAACAAGATTTCTCATAAACACAATCATACTATTTGAACTTAATTTATTTGTCTAATACACTGAAAAATTTTGATTTGCAAAAATTATATTTGTATATAAACCCATTCCGAGGCTAAATATAACAGTAAATTAGGTTAGTAATCATACCAAAGCAGACCTTTTGTTTTATTTATGTGCCCTTTATTTTCTTATATATTCATATAAACATAATATAGGAATAGACATAAAAATCATGGTTTATGGAAGCAACTTGGCATGCGTAAAGCCGTTTTCTACTTTTTTCTTATGGCCTGTTGTACGTCCTTATTTCAGATAGGCATTCTCAATTATTCAGGGTTGGGGTGGGGCTGCATATATATATATATGGGTGTCATTCATTGAAGGTACTATCTCAGTCAGGCCAAGCAGATGGACCCTACCCATGTTGCAGAGTCGGGATGTATATTGATGATGATAAGGGTACACGTACTACACTGGCCAGGAGGACAAAGCAGTGATGGAGACGGGTTATCCATAGGTTCTGTGGCATGTAACTGAATTTTCCATGGAGCCAAAAGAAAAGAGTTTTTTTAATGATGATTTCATTACGTTAAGCCATGCAATGAGAGTTTGATTTGCCAAGACAAACAAGAATAGTGATTCATCCAAAAATATTGACAAAACGGGTCGTATATTAATTTTAAACAATCTCATTTTGTCGTAATTCACGTGATTGAATTGTAACATTTGATGGGCTAAGCCCAAGGGTCTATTTTAAATTACAAATCCGGTTTGAGTTTATAGCTCAATTCCAAGAAATTCATCAAGTCCAGCCTAATATGGTCAATCCGTTCAAACTCATCAAGTTCGAGGAGCTACATCAGCAGTGGAGCATGCAAGGGTCATCCAAGAGTCTCCTCCTAGCCACCTTGGAGTAAGGGTCATCTAAGAGTCTTCTCCTAGTCACCTCGGAGTAAGGGTCATCTAAGAGCCTCCTCTTAAGTCACCTTGGAGTAAGGGTAAACCGTCTTGGAATAAGGGTCACCCAAGAACCTCATCCTTGCTGCCTTGAAGAGAGTCAACTCTCACCTCATCCTTTGACCGAGTCCTATAGATAGTACTGTAACTGCCTTGCCCGTTGACAAGAGGTCGCCACCTCCGCCTCTGCCAGATCAACTATTTAATTACTATTAAATCACCCAAATCCGATATAACCACTAGACTATTTATTCAATTACTATGCGTTATAAAACAACTATAAATTGTAAGCTCCACCAACACTTGGGAGGCATCATCATACTCAGTCAAACACAATTCTTCTCTCCCTCTCTAAGCTTGTAACTCTCTACTCTCCCTACACACTTGAGTTAATAAAGTACCTGGAAACCCTTGCCATTCAAAGTAGACGTAGATCACATTGACCGAACTACTATAAACTTTATTTTTTTTCTCCTTCTACTTATTTATTACAGTTTGTACTGCTTACTTGACTAGTGATGTGCAAACCAATTGATGCATCATCAGTTTGACGCCGTTTGTGGGAACAACAAAATTATCACTTCTAAACACTTTCTTTGTTGAATCTATGGCGATCACCATCAGATCGATGAATCAACCTGAGGATAATCCAGCACAACAGGAAGAGGTTGCTCCTCCACTAACCAATCCTATTTCGAATGCGCAACAGATGCTAGAAACAATGCAGCAACTTATAGCTCAGAACCAGCAGATTTTACAACTGATGCTCGCTGGATGACAAGGAGAAGCACAACTTGTAATACCCCAAGTCAAAGGAGTTCCACACCCTGTGCGTCAAGGAGTTCCCCACTTGGGGGTGCCTCACACAAGAGAGCCCACTATGAAGGGACTCTACCACTAAGGAGTTACCTCACTCGTTTTAATGAGGAGGTCCTCCAAATCAAGGAGCCCAATGACAAAGTCACCACCATGATTGCCTTCCTAAGAGGCCTCTGCTCATTGAGTTTCCTCTTTTCAGTAATAAAACGACCACCAAAGAGTATGACAGAATTATTGGCAAAAACTCAAAAATATATGAATGTTGAGGACATCAACTTGTCCAGAGGTGGTGAAACATCTCAACGGTCGCCACAATCTTGACCTACCTCTACTCTGATCTCAAGCAAGCAGCCTATCTCCAACTGCGCGGCTCTCTCGCGGATCGCCAAAAACTTGACCTCTTCTCTACTCTCAAGCAAGTAGCATATCCCCAGCTTAGCGGCTCTATCGCAAGTCGCCAAAAAAGTTTGGTCTATCTCTGTTTTGCTCTCAAGTAGGCAGTCTATCTCCAGCTTAGCGGGTCACCAAAAACTTAGTCTGCCTCTACTCTACTATACTCTTAAGTAAGCAGCCTATACCTCAAGTTTAAGAACTCTCTCATGGTCAGCAAAAGTTCGATCTCAAAAGGTGTAGCTCTCTCACGAGCAATTCTCAAACTCTATCTTTTTTCTCACGCAAACAGCCTACCCCTCTCTCCAGATTAAATGTCAATAATCAAACCTCTACCTTTATGTGCCCATCCGGCACTGTCGCCTCGTTGTCGTAGCTCTCCAACGCCTAACACCTAGCACAAACAAGGCCTGATTGTGCCAAGAACCCATGGCTAACTGCGCTATGCCCAATGCCTCGCCAGGCTCATCCAGCGCAATAGCTCCTCTAGTGCAGTGTAGTAGCCCTTCTGCGCGCCCAACCAATGCAATAACCCCTCTTGTGCGCCAGACAACACAGCTACTCTCCTGTGCGCACGGCCAGCTCGCCCACTAACACCGCTGCACGGTTCACCTCCCGACACCCAAGCATTGGCGCCCAACATGCCATCTCGCCAAGTAGAGCTCGCCCACGGGGGACCCTCCTCAGTAGAGCTCGCCCATAAAGACCTCTACCCAGTGGAGCTAAACCAAGGGAGCTTGCCAGGTTCCTTGCTCGCTCAAAGCTCCATCCTCGCCAAAACTCTTCAAAGCTTGCCTAATTGGCTGCACCGGTGCGCTTGCACCACCATCGGTGCCCAGCCTAGCCGCCTCACGCCCATCTCGCCCACCTCTATAGCCTGCTCGCCCAACTCGCCTAAGACATCCAAAGGACCGCCCATCTCCGTGGCCTAGGCGCCCAATTCTAGGCTCTCCTAGGTAGCCCCCTAAACTTTTTGAGTTGTTGGCCCATCCATCAGGAGTGTAGCAGCACACGCCCAAGCTGCACGCCAAAAGGAGCTCAGCTCCCTTCCAGCGTCGGTGCCCCCTTCATGGTCATCAAGAAGCGACCCAGACACCCTACCCTTAGCAGCGGCACCCATAGTGATGTGGGCTTCGACGCCTCCTTCTCCTCCTTCGATAACTTGCATCCCTCATTCCTCAATCGACATGGCCTTTGAAAATGCTCAAACTCAAGAAGCTCCTTGAAGGATTTTGGGGAATAAAGCTCTCATCTTCTCTCAAGATTGAGTGGAATGGGTGGAATGGGAAAGAAGCTCCCTATTTATACCTAGGGTTTTTTAAAATCCTATTGAAGGAAGGAAAAGACAAAAAAAAACCCCCCAAATTACAACCTAGGGCTCTTCAAGAATCCAAAAAAGGAAAGGAATGAGGGAGTTTGTATAGTCAATGGAGTCCTACAAGTAAAAGGAGCCCGCTGGAAGGGAGGAGGTCGCCGAACAAGAAGAGTTTTCAAAAAATTCGGATTTAAAAAGGGTTCCACGCTATTTTGACAGTAACTTTTGATCTGAAATTCTAAACGAGGCTTATTATATATCAAATCAAATCTTTCGACGAGCCCTACAAAACTCACTGCCTTTGTCAATGAAAGACACTATAAAAGGTCCAAAAAGGGGTCAAAAACAGCTGTTTTGGCCTTTCATTTTTTTTAAAAAAAATCAACTACCTGCTCGCCTAGGACACTACCTACTCGCCCAGAAGCTACCTACTTAGCCAAAACCGTGCACCTAGCTCCATACTTGCTATTTTGACCTTAACTTTTGTTCCGTTACTTCAAATGGGCCCCATAATATATCAAATCAAATGTCTTGGCGAGTCCTACAAGACTCGGAGCTAAACGCTATTAAAATTCTAAAAAAAGGTCTAGAAGCACATGTTTTGGCCTCTTGAAGTTTTTTCAGTTATGTCGGTCAACCAAAAATTCAAATTCAAACTGAATGTCCTCTTTTTCAAGTTTCGTTAGTCGCAGGGCACTGGGGGACAAATGATGGGTCAAGTCCAAGAGTCTCCTTCTAGCCACCTTGGAGTAAGAGTCATTTAAGAGTCTCCTCCTAGCCACCTCAGAGTAAGGGTCATCCAAGAGCCTCCTCTTAAGCCACCTTAGAGTAAGGGTCATCCAAGTGCCTCCTCCTAACCGTCTTAGAGTAAGGGTCACCCAAGAGCCTCATCCTCGCTGCGTTGGAGAAAGTCAACTCTCACCTCATCCTTTGACCGAGTCTTATGGAGAGTATTGTAACTACCTCGCTCGTTGAGAAGAGGTCGCCACCTCCACCTCCGCCAGATTAGCTATTTAATTACTCTTAAATCATCCTAATCCGTTATGACCGCCAGACTAGCTATTCAATTATTATGGGTTATGAGACAACTATAAATTATAAGTCCCGCCAACATTTGGGGGTATCATCATACTTAGTCGAGCCCAACTCTCCTCTCATTCTCTAAATTTGTAACTCTTTACTCTCCCTAAGCACTTTAGTTAATAAAATATCTGACGACCCTTGCCATTCAAAGTAGATGTAGGTCACGTTAACCGAACCACTATAAACCTTATCTTCTCTCCCTTTACTTATTTACTACATTTTGTGATGCTTACTTGACAGGTGGCGTGCAAATCAATTTGTACATCATTAACATTTTTTAAGATATTAAAAAATATAACATTGTCATTTTCCCTCCATTTTTATTGCTATGTTTGTCCCCAACTTTCATGCAAGCAATTTATTCTAATATAGGTAAAAGTCTAGATACTACATCTATCAAGTTCTTCACCAACAATAATGAATAAAGGACAACCAAAACAAAGGAGCCCTCTTTAGAATTTTGGGAGTACGTAGTGATCTGCATCACTCAAAAGTTTAGTTACCTTGGTTTAATTTGTATTTTTACTTTTATAGTAGTGCAAAAATATTCTAATCTCTAAGGGTGTAGTAAAGTTTAAAATTATCTAAACTTTCAATTTGTGAGTATTATATTTGATGGTGTGGAAAATTTGCGACTATAATGCAAGGTAGAAATTAAGTTGAAGAGCTTTCCGATAACAAGGCAAGTATATGATTGGGAATTGCTTGAACTGAGAGCTCAAGAACCAAGTAGAAGATGAGGGTATTTCTTTTGTGTGTGAAGTGAATATCGTGATCAAGAACACAATAAATTCAATGGTTCACCTAACTGAAGACTTTGACTAATTCACTTTAATAGAGTCTCTTACTCACTAGTTTGTATTGCTTGGAGAAGACGATTGTTACATCTTTTCTTGGGTGTGTATACAATTGCTCACTTGTCCTATTCAGAGTTAGGGTTAGCCTACTCATACTAGTTGGTAGAGTGGTCCTTCTGTCACCATGGGGTGGTCCCCTCTAGTTTGTTAGGATAGTGAAGGAAATATTTGACTGTCAGATGCTACATTCCCCTAGGTAGAAGGTGATGATGTGGCTTTTGACGACTCTATCTTCTGGTGGTGACTGATGTTGGACATTCTTCTTTGTTCTCCTTCTTGGAGTGGTCTGAATAGCAACCTCTTGACTGCTCTTGCCTGTTTATGACTAAGTCGGGTCGAGCTGTGTCTGAGCTGGACCATTCTATCCTCGTGTTGATTAATCAAGACCTTTGTCCTATTGGCTGACGATCCTCTTGTTGAGCTATGGTTCTGCTCCTTGATGTGCTCTTGATTTTGGTATCATTAGTTGCCCCCCAGTCTCGAGCTTGAGCTACCTTGTTTGGTCGTTGGTTGGGTCTCACCTTTTCACTTATGTTGAAGAGGTTATTCTACTTTTTCGTGTCTACTCCTGGGATTACGGGTAACGAAGTAGACGTGATGGGATGATTGTCTTGTTTTATTGTTGCAATACAGATATGGAATACACAATGCTATTTTTTCCTTTTGATATGTGTAAACCCCACCCTTTTGTCTTTATATATGTATGTAGGTTTAAGTAGCAATTATTATTTCTTTGAAATGTTAATATGGAAAAATTTGAGGAAATAGTAGTTAAAAATCTAGTTTAGCTTGCAAATATATGAAATCGTGGTAATAGAATTGGTACCAACTAGGATTGATGTACAAAATCATGTTGAATAAGCTTGGGATGGAATTGAAAGGGTTTGAAATAAAAAATAGAGGAAATAGAAAAATTTGGACAGGACCTACCGGTAGTACGTTGTCCTGTGGATCTGAACTACCGTTAGTCAACAGGTAGTAAATGTCTAGTGGATTCGAACTACCGGTAGTCAACAGGTAGTAAGTGGCTAGTGGATCCGAATTACCGGTAGTCAACAGGTAGTAAAGGTCCAGTAGATCCGAACTACCGGTAGCTCAACAGGTAGTAAGTTTCCAGTGGATCCGAACTACTGGTAGCTCGATATGAATTACCGGTAGACCGTTAAAAAATCAGAATTTTTATGTTTTAAAACCAATTTTCACTCCATTTGCTCTCATTCTTTCACACCACTCTCATCCCACACCTCTTAGAACCCTAATAGAAAGACTTAGAGAGGAAGAAAGAAAAGAGAAACAAGAGTTTTAAGGGTGATTCAAGATCAAATCTTCTTGTCCTCCACACTAAAACCAAGGAGAAAGGTAGAGTTTTCTTTCTATTCTCTTACATTGAGGCTAGAGCTTAATTATATGTATTCTTTTGACTTTAAATCTTATATATATGCTATGAAATCATCTTTCCTTGGCCTTTTACAATTATTAGTGTGTTTAAAACAAATTTAGGGTTGAATGCCCATGAAATCTCATTTTCTTGATATAAAACCCTAGTTTTCAAAAGAGATGGACTTTCTTCTTAATTCTTCCTTTGTTCTTGACTTTGAAACTTTAGTGCTTTATTTTGAGTACTAAGATGATATTGATAATGATCTCTTGCATTTTCCTCATATGTTCTATTGAAATACTACATGTGAAATTGAGGATTTATGGAATTGTTTGTTATTTGAAAAAATTATTGGTATTGTATCTCTTGTGTGGTTGTTGGATAAACATGAGCTACTATTGACTAGGTATCTTGGAGTGTGTAGACGTTTTCTTACTCCGTGTGGATTTGAACTTTTTTTACCACTCGTAGTGTGGTTAGTGCCTTGCAAGAACTAAACCATTATCGCTCACGGGATATCGTGGAAAAAAGGTTTAGTATCCTGCTCTTTGGTTGAATACGTCACTGCCATGGTGTTTGCAAACGCCCTTCCTAAATGTTGGATATCTTTGCGAGGATTTGTGTGGATTGTACGTAGGCTAAGATATTTTTGATGGTATTCATGCGAGATCTTACTTCAGACCAGAGATACGAATACAATGGTGGGTTATTGTTCATTGTACCAGAAATAATTTATACAAGAATTTTGAAAAGTATAAGAATCCGCAAGAAATTGGGAGAAACGGTTTATGGTGGAGTGAATTATTAGTTGTATATTGGTTTCACTTATGCATTAAATTAATACTATTACTTAAACTTGAGATTTGTTTAAATGTCCATGTTTTATTGTAAAATTCATATATGCTATTTGTGAAAGGTGACCGACCTTATTTATATGTTTTTCTAAACCTTGTTCGAGTTTAGGAGGAATATTGTTACAAAACTTAGTGCTCCCCCTTTACAAACTATACTTTTTAGATTGTGGTCTAGAAGAAGAGTTCAGGGTTGAGGAGCCGACACATTGAGAAGCTCCACTAGATGAGCTCATGGATCCCGAGGTGGATGTCTAGAGTTATACTCTCCTAGGTGCAAGACTAGAAAATTTCTTTTGGGACTATGTAAAGACTAATCTTTTGTTATTCCGCTGCAAGTTTAAATGTGATTGTTTTGGGATGTAATTATCACAGTCGATCACATTCTTTTGGGATGTAATGGCCATGGTTGACCTATTCTTTTGGAATAATATTATAAATGTTATATTTGATGGATGAAATTTCTTTAATGATGAAATTATTTAGTTGCTCTCATGATGTGAATAGTTTATAGATTGTAATGTCGTCTAATGTGGGTTTTGGGGCTTTACAATATGTGCCAACAAGGGGGCGCCGCATTGGTATAGATAGAGACATTAAATGCAATTAGATTGAATCGATTGTGTGATATAATAG